AGTTCAGTTCTTTATTTGCTCAGACCATATATATAAAATCTTGCCAGAATAAATCTATACCACAGGTGTCAAACCCACAGCCTGTAGGCTGAATGTGCCACACACTGGGTACACCCATCCCCGGTTTAGCAAAGAGCATAAAAGTCATGATACGTCATGTGACAACAATGCGATATCACAAGCTTGACATCTGTGACCTATACCAGTGGTTGTCAACTGGTGGGCCCTGGCCCACTGGTGGTCCATGAGAAAATTTTGGTGGTCTGCAGGGAAATGTCACCCCAGAGCATCCCCCAAAGCAATTAATCAAGGCTGCGTGGGAGCAAGGTTGCACCACCCATATGGCCTGCAGGAACACAAGGCTTGCATCACTTGCATTGGGAATATCACAAGGTAGTGAGGGGAAGGGGGAAAGGGGGGGGGGGGGGGGAACTTGCCTGGCCACAGGGCTGATTCTTTCCACTTCTTTCTTCTTCTACTTTTGGCTACATGCAAGGAAAGCAGCAAAAGTCTTTCTCTCCCCCAAATTCCACCCGGAGAGAAAGAAATACTTCTGCTGCTTCTGCTGCTTTCCTCTCTCTCCCCCTCTCTGAAAACTGAGCTGGAAACAGTATCCTGCGATCCCAAATAAAGAACGATTGATCAGTAAGAAAACAGGGTGGGGAATTTTCCTGCAGACTTTTTTTGGGATTTTCCCAGTGTTTCTGTCTGCAGACAGAGGCCCTGGGAAAATCCCCCCAAAAGGCTGCAGAAAAATCTCTCACCCCATTTTCCTACTGATCACAGAATACCACCACCCCCTCTTCCTGAGAACTAGTGGTCCGTGGGTTTTAAAATTATGAGTTTGGTGGTCCGTGAGGTCTAAAAGGTTGGCGACCCCGACCCATACTATTCTACCCTTGGATGATTCTAGGGAATATATATATAGAGAGAATATATATATTCTGAGAAGCACAGAGCCAAAGACACAAGCCGGAAGATGATGAATGAGACTTCATCTAAACGTTGCCTAGATACTTCCAATTTTACGTGGGAGAAAACCCAAATAACCAAAGATCCACATATAAATACCCGCAAGAACCTCAGAAAACAAATATAAATATATGTGTGTGTGTGTGTGTTTGTGTGTGTGTGTCTATATATATATAGAGACACACACACACACACACACATATATATATATATACACACACACACACACACACACACACACACACATATATATGGATCTTTGGTTATTTGGGTTTTCTCCCACGTAAAATTGGAAGTATCTAGGCGACGTTTTGATGAAGTCTCATTCATCATCTTCAGGCTTGTGTCTTT